TGATCACTAGTGTTAAAACCACAGATTTAAGTTTGGTTCAGATCAACAATAACAGAGAAATTTGGCTTCTAAGTGCAAAGCGCCCATTTAATTTCTGTAATTGCGCGTGCATGCCCATTTATAAACCACTCGCCTGGCTTGAATGCCAAGACTATAAATCTGAAATTCGGCGGACAGTATCTCTGTACGTAATATAAGTATCAAACTACAATTGTAGTTGTCGATTAGATCATTTATAGACCATTTACTAACAACTTAATTCCTACAACGTCACCATACGTCGAGAAACCGTTTTACTCTGTGTAAGTGTACGTTTGAAGTTGTCCTTCAGTAGCATTTCGGAGTGGATAACTATAGTGATTCAATTGAGGCCTTGAGCTGATGTACTATACTTTAATTCCAGGCTTTCGCCGTTCTACGGCATCGTCAGGGAATGAAAGGGAATGATTTTAATGGTTAGATAATATTAAGAAAATTAAACAAAGAAACTAGTCGAACCTGAACCCCCTTGACCGTGGGTTGGACCTGTAGAAGAGGAAGGCGTCGAGCCAGAGGCCAGCGTCCAATCAAAATCATCCGAGGACGATTGATTCCATCCAGAACACAAACCGTGGTCGAAATTACACCAGCCTGCAATGGTTACATGTTTACTGCTGTACTTAAGTTGTGAGATAGCAGATGCATGGTCGTGTTTGAAGGCCAGCAAATTGTAATTCGTGACCATTTTGTTACCTGGTAGCCAAACTAGGGAATACTAGCAAACTAAATACGCTTTGCCAACTATAAAAAGGCTTGTTACAAGCACATGGACAATCAGGTTACCCTGTTTTACGTGTTCTCGTAGCTTGCAACAAGGGTAATTCAGCCGGAGGGGATTCTTAAGTCGATTTTTGCTCGGTATGTGCCTGTGGTACTCAGAACCCCTTCCCCATTACGGTCTGTTCGGTCGACAATTATGGCCCGTCGTGTCATTTCGGCAGGACAGTTCGGTTTTGACTGCCTCTCGTACTACGGGCGCAGCCACCGTATGCAACAATACAGTTCATTGCCTCTTTTCGAAGGTGTAAACATTTTTGCTCAAACAAAATGCATTCATAATTGTGTAAATTAGCTACGGTCAAAATCTATAACGAAGACGTCATAAAACAATAGCAAATATATAATTTCCACGACGACTCTCTTTAATGCTTCTATACACCAAAACCATTTCACTCTGTAAAACAAACGCACGTTTCTACGTTTGAATATCCACANGAAAATTAAACAAAGAAACTAATCTAACCTGAACCCCCTTGACCGTGGGTTGGACCTGTAGAAGAGGAAGGCGTCGAGCCAGAGGCCAGCGTCCAATCAAAATCATCCGAGGACGATTGACTCCACCCAGAACACAAACCGTGGTCGAAATTACACCAGCCTAAAATAGTTACATGGATATTTACTGTTGGAGACTTATTTTGAATTTAAGTTGTGTGATAGCCGAGATGCATGGTCGTTTTCGAGGGCCAGAAAATTATAATTCGTGACCATTTTGTTACCTGGAAGCCAAGCTAGGAAATACTTGCAAACTGAAAATATGCATTGCCAACTAAAAGAAAATTGTTACAAGGACATGGACCATTAGGTTACTCTGTTTTACGCGTTCTCGTAGCTTGCAACAACGGTAACTCTCCCGGAGGGGGTACTTGAGTCGATATTTGCTGAGTATGTGCCTCCAGCCTCTCAGAGCCCCTTCCCCATTATGGCCTGTTCTATCGACAATTATGGACCATCGTGTCATTTCGGACAGTTCGGTTTTGACTGCATCTCGTACTACGGGCGCAGCCACCGTATGCAAGAACATAGTTCACTGCCTCTTTTTGAAGACGTAAACATTTTTGCTCAAACAAAATGCATTCAAAATTGTGTAAATTAGCTACGGTCAAAATCTATAACAAAGACGTCATAAAAAACACATTTTTTAAGCAATAGCAAATATATAATTTCTACGACGACTCTCTATGCTTTTATAACACCAAAACCATTTCACTCTGTAAACAAGCGTATTTTTCTACGTTTGAATATTCACATGTCCATATCGTAAAATGTCCACACATTAATATCATGCAGTAAAAATCTTTTCAAATCTTCGTGGCTGTCACCACGAAAAGACTTGGCTCTTCTTGCCCATGTTCGCATGATAGTTCCACTATATAAAACATTAAATGCCGTGTGTTTCAAAGTTTGAACGAGGAGTCAACGTCGGCCGAGTAGAGGCTTGGTCCTGGTCACCGACACGA